TGGTGGGCTCTGTGGGGTCCATGGTGGGCTCTGCATGATCTCAGGGGGGCTGTGCAGGATCTGTGGTGGGCTCTGCAGGGTTTCACGGGGCTCTGCGGGGTCTTTGATGGGCTCTGCGGGGTCTATAGTGGGCTGTGCAGGGTCTCAGAGGGGCTGTGCAGGATTTGTGGTAGGCTCTGCAGGGTCTCACATGAGACCCTGCAGAGCCCACCGTAGTTGCTGCAGAGCCCACCTGAGAACCTAGCTTTCCTGCTACTCTAATAGCTAGACATGTCAAAAGCTGGACACAGCATGTGCGCTGTATCCAGCGACTGACAGGTTACGCACAAAGTCTTTAACAGGAAGGGGTGGGGCAAATTTAGTGTGGGGGGGGGGTGCTTGAGTTTCGTCTTGCCTAGGACAGCCCCAAACCAAAATACACCACTAAGGCTATGGGGCTGTTATCACTACCTAATGGATCACTGCATGTGGGGAGTCTCAGCTTCACTGACTGCATACTTGTTTTATGTCAATGACTAAGTTGTAAAGCAAGGAGGAACAAGTCAGCAATGCAGCTCGTACATTTGATCTTGACAGATTCCATTTAAAGGAGAACTGAAGCCAAAAAGATGCAAATTAACTGCCAAAGATTTGAGAAGAATCAAACGTGAAGCTACCAGGAACCCATTATCCTCCAGTGCTGTCATATTTCAGAACTGCAACCTACCTGGAGTGCTCAAAGGTACAAGGTGTTCAGGTGGTGGTGGTGGCCAAGGTAAGAAAGGCTGAAACCCGACCACCACTGAACAAGACACACAAGTTGAAGACTGGGCCAAGAAATATCTGAAGACAGATTTTTCAAAGGTTTTATGGACTGATGAGGCTAGAGTGACTCTTGACGGACCACATGGATAGGCCCAGGGGTGGACCTACCGGCGGTGCAGGCCCAAGGCTGGGGGGGACCCGCTGACAGGGGCCAACTGGACTGGGAGACGGGGAGGTAATTGCTTCTTTGGCAGCATACGGCAGTGCGAGGAGCACGAAGGCTGTCAGTGTGCTAGCTGCTGCTGTCCTGTTGCCAAGGGGTCCCATATACCGCCTGCAATGTATATGCCCCGAATACAACGCAGGCAGTATACGGGACTCACCGACGGATCACTTCCCTCCTGATGTGGGCACTGTGTCAATGCT